GGGGGGGGGGGATCTATATTTGTAACAAGAATACAAGTAATTTCTAAGCACACTGAAGTTTGAGGACTACTGCACTAAGTGAAACTTTCTGAGGCAGGCATCTCATTTACATATCCCAAAGTCAGCACACGACAGTTTATAGAATGAGTCAATTTCTGTTAGTACAGAAATTTCCAGATCACAAAGAACTAAGACAACTTGCAATTCATATTCCAAGGGACAGTGGCTTAGGTGTTTTTCCTCAATGGGAAGAAAGCATCAACAGCGGTATAGCTTGCTAGGGCAGGGGCAACATCTTGCTCACCCTGTATCTCCAGCACCTAGCTCAGTGCCAAGGAAGCTTAGCAAGTATCTGCAAAATGAAGCAGGGGGGATATGTCCTGATATGAGCCAAGGGTAGAGCATTAGATGAGTTCCATGGGTCAAGTTCATTACTAACCATTGCTATTGTTTTGTGGAATCATTATAATAGTGAGAATATACTATATAACTTTTATGGTTCTAGGAGCACTCTCGGTCAAGAAAAAGGGGGTGTTTAGACAACTTTATTAGTTACAATCATCAAGCTTGGGTGAGATGTAAATAGAAGAATCATCCATATCACTATATCTATCTCCTGAGATATTCTGCAGATGTAAACATTTTATGTTTCTTACTGGCAATTGTTTCTGATTAGAAACAGTTTGGCTAATAAAAGCCAGAGACTTGCCTGGTTAACTTCATATGTTTGCTACACCCAATGGCGATAGTTGCTACTCCGTGAAACACAGTTGAGTGTGCTAGATACAGTCGATTCTCATTCTCATGATTCGTGGTAGTGACATTGTATAAAGTCACCATGAACAATGAATTAGTGAATTCTGAACCACCCCTCCTTGGGGAAATACAGGGCTAGGTTCCCAAGAGCCTCTGATTACAAAATTTTCAAGGACCAATCAGTACATCACCTTGGTTTACATGTGTTTCTGTTTAAAGGCATCTAGTTTAGTATATATTGTTGATTCATTAACATTGAACTCACAGCCAAAAGCACTTATGCCTGAACCAAGCTCATCTAACACAAGTATTTTCTCTGTAAGGAATATCACAGCCTTCCTGTGCTCAGAAACACTAGATAGTACTACCCTTGGGGGCCATTTGAAACAGCAAAATCACCAACTAAAAGAACAAAAATGTGAAAACCATGGCACTAAATAGAAAAGGACACCTGTTTACAGCCTGAGAGCTGAACCAAGAAGGCAGAATGTTACCTTGTTCCACCTCAGTTAGGAAAAGGTAACTAAAATTCTTTGCTGCTCTTGCATGTCCCCAGTGACCATAAAACCCTCTTGATGAATAGTGATTTTGGGGGGTTACAAAGAAATTTTAGCAAGTGGGTAGATAATGAGGATGGACTGCATTTTCCACTTTTCCTTCTAGAGTCCCTGTCAGCCCTGCCCTCCCTCGCTCTGTGCTCTGGGAGGCGGATGCACCAGGACTGCTGGCTGGCTCCTGGCTGATTTGGCCAATGGAAGGCCCAGGGGGAGACTGGAGGTCAGGAGGAGAGGAGAGTGAGAGTGGGGCGGCCACTCGAGGGCTCCCGCCTGGCAAGGGTTCCAGGATTGTGCATCCCCTAAATAAAGCCCACAGGTCCTATCAGGGAGTCCCTCTGTATTTTCTCTCTCCCCAACCTTAGCCCACAGATGGAGGGGTAGTAACCCAGCTGCTGTTAATCTCAAGGGAATTGCAATATTCCTTGTTGGTTTCCCTAAACGGTGTCCAAACTTTCAAAATAGTCCCTTTATTAGGCTTTTCTCAATTTCCAGAGCGTGCCACCTGTTTCCTTCCAGAACTCTGTCTGGCATAACGAGGGAGGGAGCTCAAAACTACAGGGCTGTGTAGAAATTTGACACTATAGAGGACTCAGAATTCTCCAGTCCGCACAAGATCCAATTTGTGAAACAAAATTACAAACAGAAATGGGATGTTCCTTTTTATCTGATCAAAAAGTGGCTGGAGGGAGTGTGCCTTTGAGATCAGTCAGGAAAGATGAACTGCCACCAATAAAGACTCATCTGAGGCCTGCTGGGAGGAGAATTGTGTATTTTTAGGTAGCTTCTCTAAAATCATTTAGGAGAGCATTAAAGGCATTTAAATATATCTAATAATGAAGATTAAAAGGACAATGATTTTTATTAAGCTATGTATTATACACCTATTCCCTTCCCTGACAGAGATTTTCAAACTTCTCTTTTTCTTAAAACATCCTGGTAGCTAAAGGAAAAATGTACGTGGCAATTTCTGTTTCCTGGCTTTTAGAACATGTTATTCTTTCCCTCCTGGCTCCTTTCAGTCTTGATGTGCAGGGCTTGCTCAGGACTCTATAACCCCGTGTCACATCCTGATTATCAAGGATGGTCATGTACTATGGACCTTGTTAAAGATTTACCAGCTTTATGCTTCAAGGACAGGGTGGAAAATCCATATTCTGAAAATGCCTGATAAAGTTATCCCTATTACATGTTCAGCTATTGCTCAGAGTGGGTGCCATTCACAAATTTTCCCAATAAAATCTGTTCTTGATTTCACCAGCTAATTCTCCAGGCTGTAGTGATTATTCCAGCCTATTATTTAATCAGATTTGCAAACTTGAGCTTTATATTATCATCTCTGCAGGACAGGTCCCTGAGAATTGTTAACTTTCAAATCTTTAATTGTTCTTGACATCACTGTTCTCCTTACTGAATTCTAATGAAATGCTGAACCCCAAAGATCTGAAGGAGAAAATCCCTTCAAGCTTCTTCTCAGGGACAACCCAGTTAAAACTTGGCTTGAGGAGAGGCGTTCAAAGCCAAGAGCACATAGGCCCTGTTACTTTAGTGACAAGTTTCATATTTCAAAGTAAAAAAAAAAATACCATCTGTCTAGGCATTTCAAGGCATGGAGATTGCTGAACTGTTAATGCCATGTAATAACCAACCTGAATTTTTTTCCAGGATACTAAGAAAACTTTATCTATTTTGGTTAAAATTATTTTAATATTTAAATATGAAAAACAACATATTATCCTTCTTTCTCCTGTTTTAATTTAGAGCGTCATCTGAGACTAGACATTTTACGACAGTGGCTCTTAAACTTTGGGGGCTTAAGATCCTTTTCTATGGAATAAAAATTATTGAGAACTCCTTAAAAATGACTAAGAACCTTTACGTATGTGTTGTCATTCAATATTTACAATATTAGAGCTGAAAACTGAAAAAAAAAAGTAAAAATACTTATTAACTTAATTGAAATACCAACAACAAACCTATTGCATGTTAACAAAAATATCATTAAGAAAATAACATTTTCAAAAAAATTTAGTGAAAAGAGTGGCATTGTTTTACGTTTTTACAACTCTCTAACGTCTGACTTTATCACAGGAAAAACCTGGCTTCTCATATCTACTTCTCCATTCGATCTGTTCAGTGTTGTTTTGGATGATGTATGCGAAGAAAATCCAGCCTCGCATAGACACTCAGATGGAAAAGTAAGGACCTCAGAGACTTCCTGAACCGTGTGCACAGTTCCTACCTCTCGGCAAGACCTGATTAAACCTCATAATATTAATTGTAGGACTCCGTAACATGAAAACAAGTGTTCCAGAGGCAGAAGATATTTACTCCTTTCTCTGTTCTTTCTTTCAACATGAAGAAACAGACAATTTTACTTTTCCTTAAAAGATGGGCAGGACTAAAAAGCTTTCCCTTGACTGTTCCATTCTGCCCAGCGTGGAGGAGAGGAAGGGCACCTGAGAAAAACCCTCCTGGCACATAGTCAAGAAAGAGGAAATTCAGGGAACACAAGCAGAAAACTGGCATTTATTCAAATTTCTAGCTTCATTTCAAAACTCTAGTTACAGATAAGTAGCTGCAAGGTGATCCTTGTTTTGGCAACGCACAGAAATTGCTACAGTGATCTGATGTCGAGCTTTCTGGTTGCTGCGGGGGGCGGGACAGGGTGGTCTCAGTAACGGTGCAGAATAAGGGCTACAGAGCACAGGTGGGGGCAGGACCTGGAGCCTGGTCAGGGGCTGCCCTGCCCCCAAACCCAGTCTGGCCTCTCATGGCTTTCACTGTTTGGGGACCCTGGGGAGAAGTCTCGTGTCAGAGACACTGATTTAAAAGTCAGATGAAAACAGCAATAAAACCCATGAGCTGGAGAAATCAATTGCTGGAAAGAATGAGAAACTTTATGGCCAAGATGCTAGACCTTTCGCCCCAAGAGTTTGACCTCTTGGCCTCACTTGCCTACTAATTGGCTCCTCAAACTCTCTTTCCAGAGTCCAGGGGGGGTTCCTAGAAAGGGAGAATGGCAGAATCTTCCGCTGCTGTTTCGGGTGTCTGGAGCATTATTTTAGTTAGACAAAGTGTGTCACCGGCAGGTGCAGAGAGAAAAGCCTCTGTTCCACGCCCTCGTAGGGCAAACCATAAGCACTCAAGTCACTGAAAACGCGTGCGGGCCGGGCACTCACCTCGTTGAAATGCACGTCCTGCATGCCGACGTCTTCCATCATGGAGGCCTCCTCCTCGATGTTTGGGGTGATCACCCTGAAGGCTGTGCATCCCTGTCTAAACATGCCTAGAAGCGAGACAGCAGGGGAGGGAGGGAGTTATTTGCCTGGAAGTGGATGAGCCTTGAGGTGTCCTCCTGCCCTGTGCTTTTGCACTGAATGACAACAGATTTTGAAATCCGCTCTGTCTCAGGAGAGCATTCCCATGGGAGCCTGGGGACCACTGTTTGTTTCCTCAGTTTATTTCTTTTTCTCATCTCTTTATTTTTCACCCGCCTTTATTAAAATGGATGCAGTCTTTAAACTGTAAATGAACTGAAATATGTATTGAATCAAATTAGTTATAAAATAACAACCAATAAACAGTATTTTGGTTTGATAAGATGACATGTGTTCAGATGCCAGGAAAATAAAGAAGCCAAGGCCAATCAAAGAAGAGTCTTGGACCCCAAAATAACTCTGCTTCCGTCAAGCTGTCGCCTCACCCCCTCAGGCTGCGGGTAACCCAGAACTCCGAACAGAACTTGCCCTTCTCCCTCATGACGCAGTCTACAAAACCAAGATGTAACTCAGCAGCCACAGCGCTGAGCCGAGAGGCTGTCTCAGCCGGTTGCACCCGGGCTGTCTAGGGTGAGGAGAGGCCTCTTTCCCCCACGAGGGGACAGCAGGAGCACGGCAAGCACGAATGCTTCAGGGGCTGGGCACTCCGCTCTCTAGGCCGGAATGGTATAAGGTTGGAGTTGGGATAAATACCTGGATGAGGTAATAGCAATAATGGTCTATCTGGGGCCTCTACTCATCTTGGAGTCACTGGGAAAAGTTTTATGTCAGTTGGACAATGTCAGCTAGGCAAAAATAGTCAAGTGAAGAAGTACTTACAATGTCTTTTACTCTATTCTGAGATCATTGCTCACAATAAAGCAAAACAGAAGTCAAAACTTGAATTCAGACCTCCCATATTTTGGGGAAAAGAGGAATGCACAGAACTCTGAAATCAAGCCTTAAAGGAGTAGATCCTAAAGTCAGAGATTTTCCGGCTAAATACTGGTCAAGGTTTCTGCGCCATCATGGGTTGTCTCTGCCACTCTCCTAGTTTAGCCTTGATTTTGTTTTATGGACACAAATGGAAAGCATTAATCCAGGAGCTTGAGGGTACATCAACATACAAAAAGCAAAATTACAAAAGCCAACCACCCACATTTAGGCCACAGAGGACACTGAAATGTACAATTTAACTCTAGTAGAACTACTACAGTGGCGGCCAAAGCGCTCTCCTCTCCTTGCCCACTGAACCAGAGAGGCGAGGAACAGAAGGGAGAAAGGAGAGCCAAGGCCATCCATGCAGAGTTGGAAAAGAAAATCCCCACACCTCTGAGTGTCATGTGGATGGGGCGGCTGGGGCCCCAGGGACCAGGCCGACCCTCAGGCTCACCTCCCTGGCGCCTCCTCTGGCAGGTGCTGTAGCTGTAGGGGGAGAGGGTTGGCTCCCGTCGGAGGGCTATGTCTGCTTCTAAACATGAGGAAATGTATTACCTGACAATAGGTCTTAACAGGATATCGTGCTGGTAGTAAGAGAATCTGGAGCCCTTCTTAATTTTTTTCTCTTTCAGGCTCTGATGTATGGCAAGCCTAGACTCCCTTAAATTTCATTCCAAATAGCCAGCTGCACCAGAAATACAGAAATTCACTGGCCTGGGCATCTGTGACTTCCTGTCATTTCTTACTGTGTAAACATACTCCTCATTAGCAGATGTGGAGCTGCTGCGCTCGGCCACATGCACTCGGCCAACTTTTCTAAGATCCTCTACATTGCAGAAATAAACGCAGCCATTAGAGGCTGTACTGATTTTGAAATGAAAACGAGCAACTGGTGTTTAACCAAAAGGAACACATGAGAGGATTCATGGCCTGCTGATCTGGGAATAAATATGAAATACACAAACGGGCACCACTCAGTCTGGGCCCTCTCCTTCCACTGGGAGGCAAGGTTCCAGCCAGCAAGGCTGCTTCCTCACACAATCAAGCCAACTGGGCTGCATTCCAGAAAATGCTGTCGGATGAGCTCCCATTAAGACTTTCTTTTGATTGATAAACGGTTCCAGTGGGAACAATCGTAAGGGAAAAATAAAATCTCTTCAGCTCAAGACTGGATGGTCAGGGACACCCACCAGAGGCAAAGCTCATTAACTAATTTTTGGGAAATGGAGCCATTAGTAAGAGGTTATGTGACAATAAGCCATCCACTTTTCTTTTTGATACTGGCATTTCCACTGTGTCTGCCAAGTCAAGGAAATGTCATGACTGGGAACAAAACAATGCATATGGTATAGACATGTACAGACACACACACACACACACACACACACACACACACACACCCCCGCCTCCAAATCTTTCTCAACAGCTCTTGCTTGTCTTTGCTGCTTTGTACAGTTTTATATGCATTTCATAAAACACAGGGATCATTCCTCACCTTTCCGTGTGAGATATTCTGCCACCAGGGCTGTGACATGGACATAGCACATTGCCGCCTGTAATAAAAGACATGTCTCAGAATCACAATTCACACAGCAGATCAAAACGCCCGCAGACAGAAATCTCATGACTGTATGTACTTATATTAGATCTCAAGGCACCAACTAGTGTTCCTAATAGCTGATATCTTATCTTTTGAAAATGTGGAACAATTCACATAAACTGAAATTTTGAAATAAATTGTGAATTAAGATAACTGGTGATAAATTTGCTATGGTTTGCTTCTATTTAGTTATTAAATTTTGATGTAAAAGAAAAAAGGCATTTTTTTTCTCTTACTCTTAAGATTTCTGCACCATTTCTCATAAAGTGAAAAGATAACCATTTGAAGAAAAGGCACGTGCCTTCCTAGATCCTGAGAGAACTCAGATTTCAAGGGATAATATAGTTTTCTCTGGACTTAAAATTGAAGTTGTAACTTCTTCCAAGCATAAAATTATAAACCAAAATTATACCTCAGTCTTAAAGGATAACATTATAAAAACCTTAAGATAAAAAAAAAGTCACCAGGGTCCTATAAAAATCAAAGATAGCTGTTAGAAATGAACCTACCATAAGTGCTAATGCCTGAGCCCCTGGTTCTTGTCAGAATGAGAGGAAAATTACATCTACTAACAACATGCAGTTGTTTTTATTACTGCCAACATACAGTTAAAGTTATGGTCAAATAGAATGGACTCCATGAATAATCAATATGTAAAAATGGTTTAAAAATTTTTCAGACGTAGAATATAATTTTACCAATTTAAGCAATTACAGAAGTTTATGCTTCTTTGTTAATATCATTGATCATGCCTACATGCCTTAGGCACAACCCTAGACATGGGAACACAGAACTTGCCTTATAGCCTATTGTTTCCCCCCATTTTACAGATGATGTCATTGACGCACAGAGGGGTTAAAAACTGGCTCAGTGTCACAGAGTCAGTAAATGTTGGATCTGGGACTCAGCACGTCTCTGGAGCCCACGCACCCAACTCCTCCCCACACTGCTTGCTTACTGAAACACGGCAGCCCTGGACACAAGGGGGCCCTCTGACATCTACCACGTCCACAGATTGAAATGGACAGCCTCCAAAGGAAAAACCCATGCCTTAGCATTACCTTAATAACAGGAAATTTTAATTTTATCATAAATACAGGAATTTTAGAACTAGAGAGGATTTTTGATGCAGAAACCGAGTGCACTTGAATTAGCAGGCATCTGCATGAATATGGATGTTTTCTAAGGGCTTTCAAACAGTGCTCTTTTGTGACACAAATATCCCCTTACTATTTGGTAAATTATTAAAATGCTTAGATAACTATGAAGTAACCCTGAGCCTAACACTGTTTAAAGTATCACATACTTATAATTGTCTTCTTTTAATTACTGGGAAATTTTTCTCAACATTGGCTTCTCCTAGTGAATGGGGTATAGTTTTCTCAAAAGCGCCAATGGAAAGGCTTGCAGGGCTACCTCGGAGAGATCCCCGTTTTTGACGTGGATCCTGGCCATGCTGTCCAGCCACGTTTTCCGGAGCTCAGGCGTGCTGGCGTAGGACTTGGCCAGACTGTACTGGAGGTCCACCAGCATCTCCGGGTCATTCTCGTGTTCCTTCATCTGTGCAGTGGCCATGAGGACCGTGCGTATCCTTTTGGTCAAGTCCTTCACATCCGAGGCGAAGGTGGTGTGCTGAAACAGGGGTGGAAGGAGGACATGTGGCTTTCAGCTGTGCTCTGCCGGTGCACATACATACTAGATATAAGGCAGAGTCTTGGGGGTAAAAAAGACAATGGGACCAGGCCACCTACCTTGATGAGCCTGTCACTGTTGGCACAGTTGTTGATGATAGACAAGGACTGCTGGAATCTGGTTCCCCCGATCCCCACAACATCTGCTATCAGCTGGCTGACGGAAATAATGACCTTAGGGACAAACAAATGGGAGCAAATCAATTCAACTTCCAATGACTCCTCACCCAGGCTTAGCTCCTGCCTTCAGTGAGGATGTACATGAAGACAGGGCAAAGGGGGAGTTTTGAGCAGGGATCACTCCTTTCAAGAATTATTCCAGAAGGTGATTAACTATCATTAAGCAGCTTATTCGCATAGAAAAACGGTAATCAGGAGAGTGCGGAGGAATGAGAATCAGATAAGCTGGTATCACTCGGATAGTTACTCACCTATCACTTTCTCTAATAAAAAGAGAGATCTTAGCATTTACCTCCTTGGTTTTTGGTTTGAACTTTCCATAAGCAGACTGTCCTTTGCATTTTCTGTTCAAAAGTATCCACATTAATTATGCTATGGGGGAAGCTTTCTTTTTTAGGGTCAATGAATAGCACTGCCTTTATGCAGTTACACAAGCTACAATGTATGCATGCCATCCTCAGTTGTTCCTTTCCCTTCACCACACCCAAATGCAGCCAATCACAAAGTACTGTCAACTCAACCCCCCCTTCCTGCTAACCTCACCATGACTGGTCAGAATACCATCCTCTCTGGCCTAGATTTGACAGTGGGTTCCCCAAGGTCTCCCTAGATTAAGGTATTGACTCCCCCAATCCACTCTCAGAGTCCAGGCAATCCTTCCAAATAGGCAATGACGCCTCCTCAACTTGTTCTCACCCGTATTCTCAGCTCTACTATAAGCATCTTCTCCAGTTCCCTGGATGGGCCCTTTCGCCTGGGTTGCTAAGCACCGTTCGGCCTTCACGTCCTCTCGGAGGCCTCCTCGGCCCCCAGCCAGACGCCCCTCTTTGGTGCACTAACGTCCCTCTCTTACGGCCCTGGGCACCCTGTACCACAAGAGCTTCAGGGTCTGTCTAGCCTCCAGCTGGATGTACACTCCGTGGGGGCCAAGAGAGGGTTCTGTTTTGTTCATGGTTGGATCCATGGATCCTAGCATGTACTTTGCAAACAACAAATACTTGTTTAAATAAATGAATAGACACAGGGATGACGAGAGCACTCCTATATATGTCTGCAGAAAAAGAGTGACTATAAAAATACATAGGACTTTTCAATATCTTGCATGGTTCCGAGCACAGAACTTGGGACATTTTAACTCTGGAGAGACAGGTGTGTGTCAGTAGATGGAAGATAGAAAAGAACCACTTTGGACTTTTTGTGTCTTACCTGAGTTGGTTACTATGAGGCATCCTTACACAGATTCTAACATATCTCGGTCAAATGGGCTTTTGGTCAGTCTCACGTTGATTCCGTGTGTAAATGTTAATTTACCAACAGAAACACATCCTGGGCCTAAATCTTACACGGTGGAGAATGAAATAAACCAAACCCGTCAACGTGACTTGGAAGTTTCCACCTCGAGGCTGAATCTTGCAGTGCTTGTGCAGAGGTAAATTGGTAAGCATGACACTTGAAGTTTTCCCGCTGAGAGAGAATTTCAGAGCACACGTGCCCTGGAAAGCTAAGCTACACTCACTTGCAAGTGCGTCCGCACAAAGGACTTCTTCCCAGTGTAGTCGAAGTTGTTTCTCATCAGGAAGTAGAGCAGCTGGGAGGCCTCGGTCCTGATGGAGCTCAGCTTGGAGTTACAGAACTTCAGGATCTCGTAGCACAGGGCGGCACACATGTCGGCTCTCCCTTCGTAGAACGTCGAGGGAAACTAGAGAAAGCAGGTAACCGAGGCCCGGTCAGCGAGCCCTTCACCTCCAGGTGCGAGAGGAAACTGTACGCCGGTCAATGATGACCTCCCTGATGAAATAACTTACCTTATAAATTAACGACCTTAAGGCAGTGAAGACATTTTTTAAAGCTGTTTCAGACTGATGTTTTTGAAGAAAACACAGGTAGACATCAAAAACTTTTTTCATGAGAGGATTATGTCCATGGTCAGCCAGGAGCTGGTTCTTAAAACACAAAAGGATGGCCCGATTAGTGAGACACATCAGACACCTCCCATAGGTTTCACACAATTTTAAGGCTCAAAGGTTAAATTTTCCAGGTACTAAGTAAGACAAATTATAATTTAAATGAATGCTGCCATTAATCCCCTAGGAAAGCCCAGATTCCTCTTGTATTATAAATAAGCCTGTTAAAAATTTATGCTTGAGAGTTTACTTTTTTCCTATAAAAGAGGGACTAATTACAAAACTTCCCAGAAAACTGTAAGATGGTTTAAAAGACCACTGGTCCTCAGTACTGATTTGGCTTCTATTTATTTCCTTATTTTTACTGCACACCAGCAACTAATACAAAGGTAATGTTTGTGACATTTTAATTCCAACAAAAACGTGCCATTACAGGTGTTGGCTAATTAATGGACTGGAAAAAATGCTGACGTGAGGTATATGAAACAGGTCTTCTGAAAGTGAGGGTGTCCCCCCATCTCCTCAGGCACTCTGATAAGCCACGAATAATCAGTTTGGTAAGGTGAAAACCGTGCAGGCTTTGCTTAGGCACCATTTATCGTGTGCATGGATTTGGAAGTAAACCAGGCCTCACCATTCTCATCTGTAAAACAGACAACCCTAAAACTGACCTCGAACAGCTACTGTGATGACTTGAGGTCAGGTATAGGAAACACCTGACATACTTTGGTCTAGTTCAGTTAGTGGTAGCGAGCAGGATTTTGACATGCCACGGATTTTACTTGATAAGACAGAACGAGAGGATCACAATTAATTTTCATCCTTCAAGATTCCTTCATACCAGCAGCAAATTCACACTAATTAAACCCTCTAAGTCTGGATGGCTAACTCCCATGGACTGCTGTTCATACTTAATAGACAGAGGTGTCACGCACCTAGAGCCCAGCATACAGCCACGGTGTTTAAACACGTGTCACACTAAAGACCTGCATCTCCAAATACAGACACGCCTGGCTGAACAAAGGTGTGTGTTTGGGAGAGGGTACACACGTGCAACTTTGCCCAAGTAGGCAAACATGACTAATAAAAAAATGTCAAGAGGCCAGTATCTCAAACCAATCTTACAATTTAGCCAAATGAACAAAGATAACTTATATACAAGTAATTCTGTGACAGCAAATTATGGCTGGAGTAATAGTAATGAGTTACCACATCTTATTGTTGGAAAAACATTTTACTGAAGGAGTAAGTTCTGTTTTTTAGTAATTCACAGATGTATTCACAGCTGGCAGGATGCCTAGAATTCACAGTGATCTCTATATCATGAAACACTGAGGCACAGTATTGAATTCCATCATGTGAAAGAGAAGCAATTTAATGAGCAGAAAATGTGTTTTAATTAAGTGAATATTATACAATTCTCAACCATGAGCAGCTGTTCAGGCACCAAAAAAAAAAAAAAAAAAAGGCTGTTTCCAGTGTTTTGGGAACTGTTTACATAGTTTGTTGTCTGTGAACGCCACTTTCCCAGGAACCACGGTCCTTCCTAATTATGGGTGGATTAAGGTTTGGGGGAATCTGGATGTGAGCTTTTATTTTCTCAGTGTGCTTTGCTGAGCGATCCAGAAGAGAACCCTGGTCCTGCTGTCTGAATTGGCCCATCTTTAAGTTCCTCCCTCTGGAGTTGAATTTTTTTCCTTTCACACTCTCTGGTCAAGGTTTTGCTTCCCATTTTCAGGATGTAATGATCTTCAGTTCTGATCTCAAAGCTCACTTACACTAAGATATAAATAAGCCCTCATTTAAAGGGCTAAAGGACCTTTTTTCCTGGACACTCCCCCACTTACCCAGCCTACCTTAATTTTCTAATCAATTTCCTCTCTCCCTGTGTCTCTCCGTCTCTCATTAATTAGAAAGTCATAGACACTAACCAAACGTAAACAAGTTTTGAACATTCACTAAGGCCCACAGGAGGTAAAAAAAGGAAAGCAAACATCCCCCTTCATGTTCGCACTCAGAAATCACCACATGGAATGTGTATTATTTCCACCTTTTTATCTTTATAGACTTTGACTGAGGACGGGAGAATTTCACCCAGGAAATTAAGTAAGATGTAAGAATGATATGAAAGGCATGACTTATCCCAACCAATAAGGTGGAGAACAGGTTCTAAATAATTCTCAGAATTGTCTGATGTGATTCAGGTTTGACTGTTGGACGTGGCCTCCTCAAGGAAATGGGTCTTCCAGAGAAAAACACACAAGATCAGTAATTTTTAAAGATCCAGGAACAAGAGAAAAACATAAACCTTGGATGCCCACGTGAGACATCTGGAACCACACCTACACCTATTCAAGACAGCTGCACTTTTCCTAGGCATATGGCATTTATTTTTATTAGTACACTGATTTACAAATAACTGTAAAAGTCTAGTTAAGGAAGAGCTGTTTCCGTTGCAGATGCTCACCCATTGCTAAGATGACCTAAACCTCATGAGTCTCTGCAGACCAGGCCCATGGTCATGGGAACCAAAAACAAACTCCCCAGCAAGACCCCGGTTACCCGAATGCTCCTCACTCTGGTTGTTCCTAGCTCTTTACTGTCGTGTCCTGGCTCTCATTGTGAGGCTCAGGTCAAGAAAAGGCACTACATGGAATTGCTAAAAATACATTTCAGGTTAAATCTGTGGACACATTAAAAATATGTCCAATTATTTAAAGATCAGCATTGTTTTGGGGTAGTGTTAGCAGGCATTGTGAATCAGCCAGAGAAGAACCATATTTTTCTACAGGTAACTACCCTGGTTTACAGACACACCCTTTTATGTGTTAAATGAGATAACATGAAAATGCCTAGTGTCGTACCAGCATTTGGTAAGTACCTGGCAATTTTCCCCTCTATAAGAGCTCATTCACCTACCTTGACACACACACACACACCCCTTCCTTAGAGGAGAGCGAGGGCTTTGACAGGCCAGTTGTGGAGTGATCATGGGCAAATTTTCTAACCTGTCTCTGCCTCAATCTGCTCATCTCCAGCATGGGAGGTAAGAAGATCTACTAGGCCAGGCTGTTGTGAGGATTGATGCTTTAGGCTCAGAAGGCACTCAATAAATAGCAGGAAGTTACTATAATAATAACAACCAGAATTCAGGCCTTAAATCTTTTCAAATATTTTCTCTCATTAAGAACATGACTTCTTGATTGCCTTTGGCAATGTATTAGATGTAGTCAATTAAGAAAATCAGAAACAATGGGGCTGTATCTGTGGAAGACGATTTTTCTCCAAACAATTATGTCAGTTAAGTCAATATAATAATTTAATTTTTCCGATATGCTCCAACTGATGCCTTAGCTGACTAAATATTTGCAAAGGAAGATCCCAGTGGCTGCCGTGCCAGTGTCATAAACCTGGGAATCTAGGCCAGGTAAGCCTACAGCTTGGCATGACATCCACTGATGCCATAATGTTTGCCCATTTTCCAGTTTTTAACAGGGAGGGGGTACTCAGCTCAAAACATCAAACTTTTTGGCACACAGGGACATAGACTCTGACAGAATCAATCCATCACACGTTAGGCATAACTGCCATGTTCTAGGTAAGGAAATCAGGGCACAGAGATGTCAAATTGACCTGCCCAAGGCTTAAAATCTGGCTAACAGTGGATTTAGGATTTAAGCCCATGGTATTTCTGTATACATGGCCGCCTCCCATGTGTATTGGGGCTGGTCCATATCAGCAAAGCGGTAGGCCCTTTCAAGGGTCATCTCACTTTAAACGAGCAACAGCCCTCTGGGGCAGATACTATTTTTCCAATCTTACAATTGAGAAATCTTAGGTCTGGAGACATGAAGTCCCCAAAGATATTCAGCTAATAAAAGTTACAACCAGTTTATCAGATGTTGTTTCTCTCTTGAGAGTCAGAACCTATTTGGTGGCCAGACACTGGCGATGTGGGAACTCTGACCAATACTCTTCTTTCATAGGAAGCAAGCAATTTAAAGGGGGCCATGTAAGAACTAGAGGCTGCTTAGTAAGGAAACTGTCACTCTTCTCACGGTGCTGCCAGACCATACCTCCGCGGCACGTGCCTCTGCCCCATCCATCGAGGCAGATGTGCACCCGCCTTGCAGCTCCAGGCTCCCGGCTCATTTGTAGGCAGAGAGTAAAGTGTCACAACTACTTTCTGAACTTAAGAATTCATGGTTGGCACTGATAAAAGTATAATGGCAAATATTCACATTAAAAACTTCACTGCCTATTTACATAACCATTTTTAACTAAAAATATCCAAAAGAATATAGAAAGAGGTTCCAAACATGGTTCTAGTACAGCAGGTCTCATCCCCAGTTTGAGTCAGTCGGCCTGGGCTGGGGCCTGGGAATCTGTGTTTCTAATAAGTTCCCAGGGTCTGTGGTTCCTGGCAGCCTGGGAACCACACTCTGAGTGCCACCAGAATGGAGACTCCCTGCACTAAGTCACTGCTGCCCCCACAAGTATTCTATTAGGATCTGTGTTTCCTTGTCTCTTGGCAGGGTTCCTAGTAATGACAGCTCAGGGGACATGAGTACAGCATGGCTACTAAGAAGAATAAAGGCATATTATAGGTAAAGTGACATGATACCAGGGTAAATATTTCTACTCTAATAAAGAAATGTGCTTTGTGAGAAGTGGAGATAAGCAAAGCAGAGAGTGAGTTAGGTCGTATTTTCCAAATACCCTTGCAAATGAACACAGTGTTTCAATATTCATAGCATATTAATACTCATTCCATTTCTCCTTCTGTGCTGGAAACAGAAGTAATCGTTTAGCAAGAATGGAGAGCATTAGGTTCCTAAGCAAGAGGGTGCCTAAAGAGACCACCTCCACCTACCTGAATACTATTTCCTAAAACCCAAACATAAGACCAAAATCACCTTTTATTTTCTGTCCCCAAAATGCTTCTACTACTTAACTACTATGTAACAGATTTTTCAAAATTTAAAAAGGTGGATGTGTTTGTACTCAATGCTTCTTCTTTTTTTTAAAAATCCTCACCCAAGGATGTTTTCACTGATTTTTAGGGAAAGGAAGGGAGAGAGGGAGAAATACCAACTGGTTGTCTCCTGTAGGCACCACTGGGGATGGAACCCGCAACCCAGGTCAGTACCCTGACTGGGAATTGAACCTGTCCCACCTTTTGGTGTATGAGATGACGCTCCAACCAACTGAGCCACACTGACCAGGGCTGAATAAATATCTAATTCCAACCACTACCACATTCAGACATGTTTAAAGGGAGTAGAGGCAGAAATGCCTAAGTTTTCATATTCATCATCCTTGGGGGCACAGCACAGCCCATTGTCCAGGTAAATTCCCCCTCCAGAGGCGCCTTCCACAGCCTGCACGCCCATGGCACACCCTGGCCAGTTAAGCTTTATTATGTTTCAGGGAATTCAGGTCATTAACTGTGCAGCAATTTCATTAAGGGAATTTAAGGATTAATGATTTCCTTGCAGGGAAAGAAACAGCTGGTGAAGGAAAAAGACAACACAAATAGTCCTTGCTGGTTCAGCTGAAAAAGCAGAATGAATTTAACAGGTAAAGCTCCATACTCACCTTAAATGCCAGTGTAAACAGAGAGAGAGTGTCCAGGGTCGTGAGGCACACCTCAGTAGCAACGTTGGCTTCCAGTAAGGACTGATGAAGGACATCGGCGTCCGAGTGGCCGTAGCCTGCATGGGTTACAACACAGGGTTACTCACTGCCGGCGGCTGCAGACAGAGGGGCTGGCAGGATGCAGAGCCACAGTCAACTTTTGATTATTTATACGCTTTTTTTAAGGGTTGGTAGTGAAGAATGTTTCCATTTCATTATAACTCTTTTTCAACTCCAGAAGGGAAGTAATAGCGGCAAACATTGATCGTGTGGTTGCTATGTGCCAGCCATAATTCTACGAACTTTACACGTATTATCTCATTTAATCCCTCCATGGCCCTATGAAATAGGTACATTATTAAACCCTCTCTGCAGGTAAGGAAATGGAGGCCCAGAAAAACGAGACAACTTGTCTGACATTACACAGTAAACAGTGGAGCCAGGAAGGCACCTGGGCCGGAGTCAGTCAATCGGGCCACTTGGCTGAGCTGAAGGATGGTGAGAGGGGTGAGGGAGGTCGGGATGTCCAAAGCTTCCCACACAGACAGGCAGTGGCACGGCACAGCGGATAAGAAGATGAGCCAAGGGTCGGGCTGTTGGCCACGGACTCCAGCTTGGCCACCTACTAGCTGTGTGACCTTGGGAAAGTCATTTGCCCCCTTTATACCTCCGTTTCCTCATCTGTAGAATGGGGATATTTAACAACGGTATCTATCTCAGGGGCTGTGGTGAGTATTAAATTCGTTAATATCTGTGGAGCTCTTAAAACCGTGCCTGGCACATAGTGAACGCCGTGTAAGCGTTCAGTCAATAACCTAGAGAGCGGTATTATCAGCTAGAATCAGGAGCGATAACCAAGAGTTGACTGTACTGCGAACAGTAGTCTACTTGCTTTAATAAAAAGCACAAAAGCCAATGTGTCTGAAAGAAATGTTTAAGAAAAGGAAAGAACTTGAAGAATCATAATTTAAGTACAAACTGATATCTTCTTATGTGGCTGGAAAATCAATTTAGTACCAATAAAAATGGAGGTTGACATACAATTTGAGGTATTAAATTATGAAATGGTACGCATTAGCAGAAACACAGAGAGAGGTGCAAAGATGTCACAGTACTGATCTAGATGACAAAGAAAGATGGCAATAAAATAAAACATCCCATGTAATGTCCTTCTCCCAGGAGCAAAAACACATCAACACTTACTAGGTAGGTAATTTTCTTAATACTCCAGAGAGGAGGACATTTCGTACATAGATCAGGAAAACGAAGTACAGAAAACCTAGAGAATTTTCTTGAGGCCAGAATTGGGGGGAAACCAGAAACTGCACTCCAAATTCCTTATTTAGGTCCCTGTATCATACTACCTATTATTAGGATAAAATAAAGTAACTAACATGATGTTATTCTGACTTTTATAAATGTCAGTTATAGCATGATTTTTAAAAAGTTAAGAAAAAAAAGCTTTTAAAGCTACCGAGTTGGTTTTCAAAATGCTACAAGAATACGATTGTGTGCTTTCATCCCATTTCGCTTGGCTTTTAAAAGGTGGTTGAAGTCGTGTGTTTGTGGATTGCGTTCTTTTCGGTGAGACACAGTCCATGCACCCTTAGTGACGCTACATAACCCGTCTGCACCATGCTGGTTCTGTTTCTTTTGATCTCTGTTGTTTGGTTTAGAAATCTCCCAGAGGAAAGACGGATGGATATTTTTAGGACTGATATTCATTGTACTGCCGCCTTTGTAAGCTAAGGCATTTCCTCATTCAGCGAGGTTTGCTTGGTAAGATACAGAGACAATGAAAAACAGATTGATGATTATTGTTACACTGACCACAAACTGGGGCAAGAAGGTACAAAAAAATATACCTTTTATTAGACCAACCAAAACTATCACACAGGCCAGAAGGACCCTTTACAGAGGGCTACCATTTACCCCAAATAAAGTTTTAGTCTGGGTTAAACTAACAAGGAGCTGGCTTTGGTGATTATTTTAATTCTTTCTCTGCATGGAACTGACCTTTCTCTCTCTCTCTCTCTCTCTCTCTCTCTCTCTCTCTTTCAGGTGGAGACAGTGTTCAAATGGTATATTAGTGTTTACATTCAGACTTAAATTCTATAGGAAAGTAGCAATCACACTAATGATAAATAGCACTTTGCCCAACTGATCTATTTCCCAAAATGCATTGGTAAATTACAATTATTTTGTAAAAGCCATCATTTTTAAATTTAATTTTTAATTGAATTTATTGGTGTCTTCTCTTTCTAGATAACTTATTGGCAAAGTGTATCCAGGTGATTATTATAGATGAGGTGGCCTGTACACTGAGGAGTCCCCACAGAATTTACCTGATTTCGAAAATGCTGGCAAATGTGCAAAATTGTATTTCTAAATCAAAGGAACATATCTCAGGATCAAGGAAATGTGCCTTTATAGCATTTTATTTATTATCTTGAGTATAGACATTTAAAGCACCCAGCCCACTTCACCTATTTTTAAATATATATTGTCTATGCTTAAACGTTTGAAAAATGTTAATTTCACTGCAGAGAATATATGCATTCTCTGCATTTTTCATGTTAATTCAATATTACGTATGATAAAGGAATTTAATTGTCACCTATATTCATTTTCTTACTCTCAATTCATAAATGTCAAGGAATTTCAGAGTTAGATGTGATCTTACAAGCCATCTCATCCAATTCCTCATATGATGCTGAAGTGACCCAGACAATATCCCCATTGGGTCTTTGCCCAGTCTCTGTTTTCACACCTCCAGCTGCAAGTGCCTGCACTAGCTAATGGGTATTTTAGGTAGAAAATGCTTTTCCATGTTGACCTGAAATCTAACTCTCTGCAACTTAATCCAGCGATCTTAAACTCTTGCATTGAATTACAGGAAATAGAGGTTTTCTTCAAGCATTTCTACCTCTTGGCTGTTTTTTCCCACACCAGTGGGAAATATGAATTACCCTGCAAATTAATTTAATATGTTCCTAGAATGATACATAACATCAACATAAATACAGTGTTATTTCATATTTTTTGAAAATGTACCACTTATTTGCAAACGTTTCACACAGTTTCCCAGTTATAACCTGGTTTATATAAAATACTCTAAATGCAGCTATCACTCTTGTCACTTGACACAAATATACTGATAAGAAGTCAATGTCTTAATGTTGTAAACATTCACTTTTCATATACCTGGGCAATGACCCAAACAACAAGCCTCTATTCTTTGAGTGTTTTTAGAATAGTTAAAACTATTGGCCGTGGGGGGGATTTTTCCTTTTCATTATGTCCTATTAAAATTTGAGAGGAAAGATAAGTCCCTGCCAGAGTTACACGTGTAGTGCATATGATGTCTTTTCTCATGTTCTGTTAATGGGTGGTGGGGACGGTATAGCTTGGCCCCGTCGGATTACGTCTCTACAGTCCTCTGCTGCTCCCTGCTGGTCCGGCTGAGGTCTGACAAAGCCTTTCCTACTGGGACAGAAGGGGAAATAAAAATGCAGGTGTAGAGGGGACTCTTCCCATTTTGATGCTTCTCTAAAAAAATTCATTTTAGATTCTGGCATCCCAGAAAATCTCTCACATACTGGATCTACATCATATTGATTGGCCCAACAGAAAGTAATGTATTCATTGTTAAACAGGGTTTTTTTAGAGAGACATATAGGGCTATAAATTTTCCATCAAATGCCTAGGTACAGATGTAAACAATCATGCGTGTACATGATCACACATATACACATGTATATATATATATATATATATAGATATATATATATATATATATATATATATATATATA